TGCATTAGGAAGGACAGCATGCGCAATGTCTTCTTGCGAAGTAGGACTCTACGAAGTGCGACTACCGCTGTCTGAAGCGCACCAGCACTGAAGCGTCCGACCTACGGAAACAGCGCCCCCCCCCCCCCCCCCCCCNNCCCAACCCCTCGAAGTCCGAAAACCCCGCGTGCACCGGCACAGCCGAGCCCTGAACTCCGAAAGCCTTGGAAAAACAGAGGTGAGAGGCTGCTAAACAATAGTGCCAAGTGCGCGTGAACAGGGCTTCGGAAGGAACAACGATGATATTCGAACGCAGATTTTCGAAAACACAATTCCATGCGACCTGCACACAAGAATGATGCCAAGAACGAAAACTAAAATCGTAATAATAACAACAATAATACTAATAAATAGAACCAAAAAGTCTTAACGGTAATAATAATGGTGGTGATGATGGTAGTAGTGACAGCAGTGATGGTGCTGTTGCAGGTACAGGTGCAGGTGCAGGTGCAGGTGCTAGTGCTGGTGCTGGTGCTGGTGCTGATGCTGATGCTGGCGGTGGCGGTCGTGGTGGTGGTGGTGGTGGTGGTGGTGGCGGCGACGGTGGCGGTGGTGTTGGTGGTGGCGGCGGCGCTGGTGTGGTGATGGTGGTGATGGTGGTGATGGTAGTCTTGGTGATGATGATGATGATGATGCTGCTGCTGATGATGATGATGATGAAGATGATGAAGAAGATGATGATGATTATGATGATGATGGTGATTGTAGCGATGTTGATTTTGATGTTGATGTTGACGATGATGCCGATGATGATGATGATGATGATGATGATGATTGTACAGATGATGATGATGATGATGATGGTTATGTTGATGATGGCTACGGTGATGCTGATGGTGATGGTGATGTGATGGCGATGGTGATGGTGATGGCGATGGTTATCATTATGATGACGACGACAACGACGATGACGATGATGGGCCCAAGGACTACATGCCACTCGTTTCGTCCGTCTGCTGTCTAATGTGAGAAACGAGCAACATTCTGTCCATGAACTCATTCTAGTTGCAAGCAGCAAGCCCTCCTTGACACCCAGGCTCCCATGTGCCTCCTGTGGAGCAGCGCTCGCAGCAAAGGGAAGCTGCTCCCATGCAGCAGCATCAGCTGCGTCGGCCATATGAACCCAGGATCCTTGGAACAGATCCGTTTTAGACCACCAGCATGCAATCTTATAACACAATCGTCATATAGCTTTGAACACTGCCTGCAATGATCAACTGGAATCAAACAGTAGTCCTTGTCGTTTACTCAACCACCTCGCGGGAACGGCACGGCATGTACCACCAGAGAATCCTACAGCCCTGCCCTTGCCACACCAGAAAAACCAAGAGCACATGTTGCAACCAGCCTGTTGAAGGGTTTTTGGTAATGGGCTTCAGAAGACCTATTGAGGACGGCTGAACCCGACCTGCTGCATGTTCTTCGTCTCCATCTTCTCCACTCAAGACAGCATCAGAGTTGCATGGGACATCAAACTAAAGGCTAAAGTTCGGAGCGTAAGTGCGCAACCTGTGGGCAACTGTTTCAGTGTCGTGTTGCCTATGCCCTACATCAATCGGAACTGAAGAGCCGAAAGGCCTGATGTTGGTACACCATGCGTAACATTTTGTCGAATCAGATTACAGTGCCAGCCGCACAAGTAGCGTGGCCTGGCGCAGATTCAAAAAGCAATGCAATAGAACAGCTGTGATAAGAACGAAGTCACCATACGTTTCACGGCCACGGCCACACCGAACAGTGACCTGCACTCCGGAAATTGTGCCGCATTAACAGCAAAGCTTCCATCCGAAGCTGCACGGTGTTGTGAAGCAAGCCGCCTTAAACAAAACCCTGCCAGGACAGCGGATTCAGCATTGCTTGCTACTACATCGAAGTCCGAACTCTCAGGAGCTCAGGTGACATGCTTTCTTTAGCAAAAGCTGACTGGATGTATCCACTGCCAATGTTTAGTTCAAATCAGCTGCGGCGTGAAGGTCAAGCGATGGGCCGTGAACAAGAGCAGCCCAACCGAATGAGCCGAGTATCAGGGTCACCATCAGCATCATCACGGCTGTCGTCTTCTTAGAATCATCGCCACCCGGACCACCATGAAACTTGTCAACTTCTTCGTCATCGCCATTTGCAAAATCGACGTAATGTGAAGCTGCTGACATCAGTGGCAGTGAGGATGCTGGCAATATGTTCAACACTATGGCAGCCATGAGGGTCATCAGTCACAACATCAACATGATGAAGACATGATGAAAGAAACCGACGGCGACCAACACAAACTGAAAACGATCGCGGCTTCTCCGCGTTCTCATGACATGAAGCCTTCCAAATGATTCTTAAAGCTGCTGCTGATTGAAGGTCCGAAATAAAAACCACAGCAAGAATAATGACAGTAGTAAGCATCATAATACTAATTATAACTATAATGATAATTGTAACATTACTGACCGTGGTATAGTATTAATAACTTAATAACCATCATGTCATGGTAACAACAGCAACAATGCTAGTAGTAGCAATAACAGTAACCCCAATAAACACTTTGTGGCCACGGTCGCCATTCTTTTCTTGCACGTAGGCTGAGGCATGGCTTCAAGCACCTGAGAAAGGGATCCTGCTGCTGCTTGGGAACAGCTGGGGAATAAACGGCCCTCAGGCATCATCTCTTTGAATTCGAGACGCTTGTGCATCATGATGGATGAAGCCTATCACAACAGAGGTGGCCGCGCTACGTGTTTGCGCGACAAACTTGGGTTACCAGATGACCCACTAGCTTGGTCATGGTAGTGCAAACATGGTGAAACTTGGTCTAAGCGAGCGCTTCTGGTCGCCACCAACAAATCAAGCATCCAGGGTCCTACCTTCCTTACCTACCGCAGTACCAGTTTCGGAATGCACTTTATCCCAAGGCTGCAGGCAGTCAGGTTCTACATAGCTGGGAAGACAAAGGACACAAATTATTTGAAATATCGAGAGTCCTGCCAGGACAAAAAAAACCGCGCCATGACCATGCCATCCCCATGTTCTCAGTGTCCAAGCAAAGATTGAAGAAGATGCCACTGGCCCAATGGCTTTCCCAATCGTCTCAGCAGTCACTGCAAAGCCATTTGCCAGAAGGCGATCTTCTGGAGGTGCTGCATTATTCGTGAAGGCAGCATTTAATACATTGTTGGACACCAGGGCAGAAGCCCAAATGAGGTGCAAGACATTGGCGGATGGAATGTTGATGGAAAAGGGCAAGATGCAAGCCGTGACTGTCGCAATGGTGCTTGTCACAATAGAGTAGCAGCGACTTCCAAACCGCTTGGAACACCATGGCAATATCCACGTGAAGTAGATGATGTTCCACAGGCCCGATCTGCACAGAAAAGAGCCCACCGTCTTCTCAGTCATTCCGAATCCACCCAAATCGGTGTCAGAGATGAGCCACAACGGCACTGCTTCGTACATGGTGTACGACGCACATCCTCCTGCAAAGCGCATGAGGAAGACCAGAGGCAAAGGCCATTGGAAAAGCAACGACTTGGACTTGGCAAGCGATGCTTCTGCCCCTTCTGCTGCTTCTGCCGCTTCTGCCTTCTCCTCGACGGGGTGCTCCTGCGAGAATGTCTGGTGGACCCCTGAGAAAAGGACCAGAGCAAGAATACTCAAAGCACATCCCACGAGGCTGGGCAGCAAGGCTGGGAAGTCTTCAACGAGGCCGTATGTCCAACCTCCGACTGCGGGGCCGATCAGCTGCATACCGCATCCAGCGGCGAAGATCAATCCAAGAAGCTCTGTTTGACGCTCCCGGCCCGCAGCAGCTACCGCACAAGGACCCGTCAGAACCAGCCAGCCCAAAGAATAGAGCATACCCCGCAGGGGCGGGTTGGGGGTTGGGGTTGAACCCAGGTTGTAACCCCAGGGGCCGGGTCCAAGGGGGGGGGGTCCAACAACCTGAACTTGAGGTTGTGGGTT